ATTTGTATATTCTTCAATATACCAAATATAATCTTACCGGCCTGGATTGATGCTTCTCTTACATGAACAGACTTATTTATATTGTTACTGAAATAAACACCCAGATATCTACAGTGTATAATCACATAGTTTCACCTTTGAAGGACCATTTTTAATTTTTTGGCAGTTTGTAACTCATTCTTGAATACAATATTGTTGTTTTGACTCTATTTATCAGTGAGTTGCCATTTATCACAGTAATTTTCTAAGACATCAATTTGCTTTTGCAAGTCACCAGCTGTACTTGAGAACATGATCATATCATCTGCAAATAATGTGAAAGAAAGAGTTGAACAACATTGAGTGTAAATGAATGCCGTTTGTACAATTGTTATTGATTTCTGATCCTAATTCATTTATGAAATATGAAAACAAGAATGGCCTCAATATACATGAGTGTTCGAAAGATCCACTCGTCCGCTCATATTTATGAGTTGTAGTATGTGCTGGGCGAGAGAAAATTGTAGAAACGCTCATCCTACCAGGCGAGTACATATATATTTCAAGATGTTTTCATCATGACGAAATACATGTCACTCATATCATAAATAGACGACCTACTTGGCAACTGTCTGTTGCAGAAATAAACAGAAGTGTGTTTGTGCAGCAGGTATTGAAACTATTTTTTAAAGGGAAATAATTAAAAGAAAAAAGAGAGACTTATTACTGACACTCAAATGTGAAAGCGATAGTGAACAGTTGATGATTGATTTTGGAAGGGAAATGGCTGACATACCAGAGTCTTTTATCGAGGATGATGGCGTTAATGACAAAAAACATGATTTAATAAACAAACAGGCCAAACAAAGGAAAGTTTCTCAGAAACTGTAAAAAAAAGAAAATTAATTGTGCAAGACACATGGTTGAGCGAGTTTGAATGGGTGGCAAGTTTGAGTGGGTGGAGATGAACGTAGATAGCGGGGACTGAATTATATTGTACTGTCTGCCATAAACAATAACTGAGAACATAAAAACTTTCTGAAACAACCAGACAAGTGAAAATATTGCAAGACATATACAAAATATTAACTAACCCTACAGGACAAATTAGGTTTAATTTTTTTTCCGAGCCCTGTACATCCTTGGTGCATGCCAAATTTCCATTCAAACATATCAGACATTAAACCCATGTCTTGAACACATTTAAATTTTTTTTTATATATACTACATAATAATTTTAACATTTTGGAACTAAGTCCACATGCAGTAAATAATCTCCATAATTTACACCTGTGCATAGAATCAATCCAGCCTGTGATTTCAAAGTTTTATCCATGGTATTGGCCCAAGACACAAGGATCTTGTTGACATCATTAGATGCACCTGATTTATGCAGCGGAATGAGAAAACCAATAGACCATGTTTCTGGGAAGTATCCCTCATCAGACATCACAGTAAATAACAAATCTAGGTATGGGACAAGTTGGTCAGGTGAATGTACAAATAATTCATAAATGGTGTCATCTATTCCTGAAGATTTGTTACATTTTAGATGAAGGATGCTGTTTAATATTTCGTTATAAGCATATTGAGAATATCCTCTGTCATGTCTTTAGTGACATCATCATGGGTACAATCATCATGGGTACAATCATCATGTAAAATACTGAGAAAGTAGTCTGGCACAGTTGATGTTTGCTCACCTGCAAACAAATCTCTAAAATGTACCAAAAAGTCTGCACTCTTTATATTATTTTAAACATAATTCTTACAATTCAAACTTTTAATCACCAACCAGAAATTCTTGAGTTCTTAATGTTATTCTCCATATATATTTTTGTGTTCAAAATATTCATTCCTTTTTTTGCCTGCATACAGCATTATATTTGTTTCTTATGTAGTTGTAATCCTTCAAAGTGTGACTGTCCTTATATGTTCTAAACCTATTCAGTGCTCTACATCTTTTACGTTTCAACAGTTCACATTCAGCATCAAACCATTCATAATTGTATTTACTTCTTCCAGCTGGCTTTCTATATCATTTGCAGAGACACATAATGCATCTGTAATACACTCTATACTTCTATCAATATCATTAAAAATCATAACTGATTTATCAAGAAATTCTTGTATATGATCCGACAGCATGTTTTCTCTAAATAATTCCAACTTTTTAAAGTGCCATTTAAATCTGAATGAAAAATTGATTGATACCAGTGTTATTTTCACAAGCTTTAAGCTTCTGGGTGAGCTCAAACACTGGCAGATGCAATTATATAATGTATGACGCTTGTCCCATTTGGCCCAATGAATGTATAATCCCCAATTTCACGGTCAGTTCCTGATCTTCCGTTCATGACATGAATGTACATAAAGAGCACATCTCTTACAAACATTTACTAAGTTGTTTACATTTTTATCACTTGAGAAATGATTTAAACTAAAATAATCGAACATAAGATCCCAGCTTGAGTTACCATGCAGCAGCCCTTCGATATATTTAATAATGTCATCTTCTACAGACTTTGTTCATGTTCTGGCGTTATAGTCGCCAACACAAATAACAATAGCATCTCTTAATTCTGATAAAATGTCCACCAAACTGTTTCGAAATATCTTGTTGCAGCTTTTGCAATCAACAGGTAAAATGTTACCAGCGTCCAAGCAAGGAATTAACCATGCACGCACAAACACACACACACACACACACCTCTGAGACATTGCAGAAGAGAAAGTTAATGAAGCTATTATTTGTGTTGCTTCTCTCACTTGATGGGTTCTCTTGATGAGCAGTAAAGCCAGTGTATCGGCAGCTGACCACACCCTCATCTCTGTCTCCCTACTGCTGGCCTCTGTGACCTTGAGCGTGTGTCCCATCTCTCATCCCCGTCCATCCTGTTGTCTTTTCTCTCTCTCTGCCTCTCTCTGCCTCCAGAATTTGCTTTCCTATGTTCCTGTTCCACTCTCTGGTTTCCCTCACTAGTTTCCCTCCTTTGTAGTAGGACCGTGTCTCTGGTTCGTCTGTTCTGCATTTTAGTAATTCCTGTCTCTGATTCATAGTCAAGTCATTAGAAATGCCATATCCTTTATCTTTAAGAACATTCCTCATTGACACAGCTTGCATTTTGTCGTCCAAGTGTAGCATCTTCACGATAAGTGGTCGGGGTTTATTTGGGTTCTTCATCGAAATACGATGTAAATGTTCTATATCTCTGGAATTGAGTGGGGTGCATTTCTTCCCTACCTCTCTGGCACTATTCAGTACTTCCAGTACTTTCTCCTTACACGCCATATATGGTTCATTTTGTGATTCTGGCACTCCATATAATATTACATTATTTCTCCTGTTTCTGCATTCTTGATTTTCTATCTTGGATTCTAAATCATAAATAAATCTTTCCATCAGCTTGCTTTTCTCAAATAGTGAATCAATATCTAACCTAAGTATGTCATGCTGTTAGGTGAAGGGGCGGTCGGGTAGCCTAGTGGTTATAGCGTTCGCTCGTCACGCTGAAGACCCGGGTTTGATTCCTGTCATGGGTACAATATGTGAAGCCCATTTCTGGTGTCCCCCGCCGTGATGTTGCTGGAATATTGCTAAAAGCGGCGTAAAATCATACTCACTCACTCACTCACTGTTAGTTGAACTTACATCTGACTTTACATCACTAATATCACTTTTCATGGATCTGATTTCATCCTTAATTGAACTTATATCTTTAGATAACCTGTCCTCTGATTCCTTGATTTGATTAATTATAGCGTTCTTGGGGTCGCCTAGTTCACTACTAGAGGGTCCAGGGTTTAGTTCAATGTCACTTGATCTGTGAAACAACATGGGCACAAGCAGGTGAATCAGAGTCATGATTGGAGTGTCCTGTTTTCAACATGAAAACATTGTTTCTCGCCGATAATGAAAGTCACAGATCTCACCTGATGGAAACAGAGTTAGTGGCAGAATTAATGATGGAGACAGATCTGGGATCCAAGTTGCTGTACTAGATCCAGCACTCATCACAACGGAAGCACAGCACTGCACAGAAGTCGCCTGTATCCTGTCGCCATACCCGGCGTCCACTCACTCATGGGGTTGTAGGGTTGAATCTTGTCCATTTGTCTCATGCCTTTGGGATGCACAAAACACTTGATTCACGCCCTCCAAACTTAAGTTGATGCCCCCATCTGACCTTTCTTGCACCAAGAGATGCTTCAGTATGTCAAGTTTTGTTATTGATTTTTTTTTATGAGTTGATGTGTGAACACCTCTACTAACCAAGGGAGCGAACTCGTAAGAATTATCAAACTATATTTATCATTGCTAATAATAATTATGAAGATACTTGCTCTATTACATTAAGGTAATCCCACCTAGCTCCCCAATTTTCTGCATCAAGGATGCTGATGTTGGAAAGGAGTGAAGTTTCCTGCCTGCACATGCACAGAGATTTAGGAAGGAAGATACTATTGGTATCTTGACTGGTTATGAATAGATTTTATAATGTGATGACAGCTGATGGCAGTGATATAATAGATGTAGTATTCTTTGAATTATCAACAATGATAACTATTGTTTGACATCTCAGTGCCAGTGGCAGAGTTAAAACCATATGGGCGCCCAAAAAGAGAACAATTTACTGAGCAGAGGACACGCTGGCATTAAGTAACAATCTATGTATCAGAAAAGCTGAAAATATACTGGACATTTGTGAACAATAACAACATGGTTACAATAAACAGACATTTATTATATCGATATTTACACTGGCCTGATGGATCCTGGTGCTGTATATGGAATAGAATGAGGGGTCAAGGACTCAACTGTGGTGAAGTGATTAGGACCCAGCTGCAGAGGTTTGTTGGACCTGATCATGGACCTGGCATATCTCACCTTGCCTCTCAATCCCTCAGGTCTTACATCACCTCTGTTACCTTGGGTTTTACAATCCCAAGCAAAACCTCCTGTCAATAAGTTTTAAGAAGTTTCAAGACATCATATTGTTTCAATACTCTTATGTTGACAGGTTCGGAGCAGCCTTGAAGCACTATGTTCCAACCTCAAGTCCACAAATGCACATCTTGAGGACAAACTAGGGGTAAGCAAAGATCTTGAGCAGTCATGTGCAGTTGCTTATTTTTTTTTAGTACGACCTGGCTGAAAATATAATCTGCTTATGTCATGGCCTCTTTGTCCATCATCAATCAGAACACATCTTCTCTGTACACCGTGGGAAGTTAAAACGTTTCACACTTGTTCCTACCATTGATAACAGCTTCAAATACAATATGGTTGTAAGGACAACCCAGACCGTTATTGTGAAATGCTTATGGCCATCTGCTTAAATAAAAGCAAGGCAATTAATTTTGGAAATATGGTCTGGTTGGGTGGCAATATTTTAGTTCCTTCCTACTAGTGTAGAACCTAATAAACATCGGAAGGGCTTCCTTTGTAATTGTATTCCTGTTAATAAATAAAATCTTGTTAATTTGGTATGTTCTAACACAGTAAACTACTTTTATAACGAACACACTTATAATGAACTGACGGATGTAACGAACTGTTCTTTCTGTCCCGATGTAAGGTGCCAAAATCTACCCCCCTTCAGAGTATACCCGGGTAGATTCTGGGAGCTCCCAGAATCTACCTCGGGGTAGATTTGGGGACTTCCCAGAATCTACCCCCCTTTCCCAGAATCTACCCCCAGGGGGTATAATCTGGGAATTCCCAGAATCTACCCCATGGTATAATCTGGGAGCTCCACCCAGAATCTACCCCGGGTTATAGCTATAATCTAGGAGCTCCAAGAATCTACTGCAGCCCTGTTTGATTTAAACATTTAAACATTATTTCATGAATGTACTTGAAGTTTTCTTTTGGAGGATGCATCTAACTCAGTCTTGATCTCTCCTGGTCAATTGCTGTAACAACATTAAGTTTACATAAATGCCTATTCAGTACACATCTAATTAGTTTTTAAACATTCATATCCCAGAATCTACCCCCAGGGGATATAATCTGGGAGTTCCCAAAATGGTGTAGATAATACCGGTAATAAATTGTTATCAAATCCAAATATTCAAAATGTTGTTTTATACATGCAAAGAAAAAATAAATATTGTTTAAACTAATAAAAAAATATCTTACAGATCACATTGACTTTAACTCATTGAAGTCATCATCAATTTGTAAGTTCGAAAGTTGGTGTTGCGAATTGTGTGAGGAAATGTCTTACACTTATGTTATTGAATAAGCTTTAACATGCTTTGTGAATAGACCTACCTACTTTTGATTGCATATAAAATCATTTTGAAACCAACTTGTGTCTGTCAGTACCTTTGTTTGGGGAGGCATGTATCACAGTATAAAGAATATATTCTGACTATAGAAGACATCACATCATTAAGCCCGTCGAATTATTTGTCCATTTACATTCTAATTCTTCTAAATATAGTCAGATGGGTGTAATAAATTTCATAAGGAATTGTCATTGTTTTAGTCAGAGTTTTTATAATATTATCAATAACAAATAGAGAAAACTAACATAAATTATGAGAGCAATTTATTCTGAAAACCAATATCCATTGATTCCTTGAATTATTTCAATGTCACTGGACATTTATTACAACGTCAAAGTGTTCATGGAGGTTGGTCAGATACACTGCACCAATGGACAGCTTCTCAAGTGTGAATGATGCTGGGTAGCATAGCCGTTTCAGCTCCTTTCCATAATGCGTATAGACAACAATGTCAGTTTGCAGAAGAGAAGCAGTGGCCATAATCTCTGCATCCGTTGCCCAGACACCATTTACGGCCATTCTTGACGAATTTAAGTATTTCGTCACATTCTGCTGAAGGTAGTTTTCCAGCTTTTCCCCTTTCTCACTCATGTGTTGTACAACAGCATCTCTCAGGCGTAAGTGGGATGTCTCCTGACCAGTTAGGAAATAACTAATGGCACGGAAGAAGCAGTTGCCATCACCCTTGGTCTTGTGTTGTCTTTTTGGTGCCTCAAATTCTTTCTCTCTTCCAAAATAAACAGACTTAAATGAAGGTAAATGTAACTGTTGAGAAAGTTCTCTTCTTCTTTGAATGGTCATTGCCTGGAAGCTGTAATGTGGCTTCTTGGGGGTGTTCCTGGTTGTGGTGCTGGGATTCTTGGACTTGATGGGACTGGTACGGCTGGTGGAACTCATAAACCTGGTGTGGTGTGGTACAGTAGGGCTGACAGAGCGTTTTGAACTGGTGTGGCTGGTGCGACAGCTAGGACTGGTTGAACTGGTAGTCTTGGTAGATCTGGTGGTAGGCCTGGTGTAGCTGGAGCGACTAGTAGGTCTGGTATGGTTGGTGGGGAAGACGTCATGTGGAGTGTGTCTTTTCAAATTTAATCCATGGTATGCGTTACGAAGCACTTGGCCACTCTTCAAACTCTTCAACTTAACACGTCCCTTGCCAAGCACTTGATGAACTTCATATGGTCCAAGGAACCTTGGCTCAAGCTTAGCGCCAATTCTGTTGATTCGAGGTGAATTCTTCAGATAGACGCTTGTCCCTAGCTCCAACTCATGATGACTGTCGTGTAGCTTGTCATGTTGTTCCTTCTGAATCTTCTTGGCCCTTGTAATATTGTTGCTGACTTTTGATGTGATGTTTTGTCGCAGGTTCTGCATGGCTTGGAGAAAATCATCACTGATAACATCTTCTTTTGGCGTTGGAGAGTCCTTAATGTCCATCGGTAGTTTTGCCTTTCTGATGTACATGCATTCAAATGGTGTCATCTTGGTTGATGCATGTACAGATGTATGGTGGGCAAACAGAACTCCAGGTATAAAAAACATCCCAGTTGTCACCACGGTCGTTGACAAGCTTTGAGAGGGCATTCTTAAGGGTCCTGTTGTCTCTCTCTCGTTGTCCATTGGTCTGAGGATGGTATGGTGAACTGACTCTGTGCTCCGTTCCCAGCTTGGTCATAAGATTGTCAATTATAGAGTTGATGAATTCTCTACCTTGATCACTGATCAAAATGTCAAAGCAGCCAAGTCTGCACACGGTCTTGTACAGGAAGTCAGCCACAGAATCTGCAGACTTATCAGGATACGCATCTGCTTCAGTGCACTTGGAGAAGTGATCGGTGACAGCAACAATGGAGCGATTCCCTCGTTGTGTCATCTGAAATGGTCCCATCAAGTCTATACTAATCTGGCTCCAAACTTCTTCTGGCACAGGCACGGAGCGGAGTGATGGGGCATCCGTTGTTATTTTAGGATTGAACTTCACACATGTCTCACAGGCCTTGCAATAGGACTCGATGTCTTTCTTCATTCCTGAAAAAGGGACACATATTTTATTCTCAGACAAAAATCAACAAATCTAAAATGATGCAAGAGTATATGGTCACATGCACAATCTCACAAGCACACACAATAACATCTAAATCCAATTTAATTTATTCCATTTCAGCCGACCAGAACAGGTCTGTTTGATCATGGGACCACCTCTGATACATAATTCAGGGTAGATTATGGGTGGAGCTCTAGAAAATACTTGGGTTTAACTTAATCATACTTAGGATATATGGAATTCTGATGCATTTAAAAATATTGAAAAATAGGTCTGACACATTTCTGAAAGTAATTAACTTTCCAGTAAAACTTTGCTGCAATTTTCTGATAGGTCCTCTCTGTAGCGAAGTGACCACCAGTGGTTGGGTTGTCATGACAGGCCTCCAGTACTCTCTTAAGTCTTTGCTGTGGCAACACTTCCTTAGCGTGGTGGAACAAGGTTCCATTCTGTGCAGTGTAAGGCTTGGCAACTTGTCTGAACTTGGACTTGGCATTGGTACGAAGATCACCCTTGAGCTTGTAGATCTCCTCTGGATAGCTGTGGTCAGATTTGGTCAGGTCCCTCAAGACCGTCGTCATAAACTTGATCATCCATAACTCAAAGTGGATGATATCTGTTGTTGTCGCTGTGAAATCTGTACCTTTGCATTTATATATATACATGTGTATAACCTATTCAAATGAGTCACATTCTCATCTCACATGTGAGATTTCTTTAATTATGATTACTGTTTGGAAAAACTGGTGCTCCCACCTTTGTCTTCTCAATATAAATGAACAGGAAGTGCATGTTTTAAAACTAATTAGATGTGTACTGAATAGGCATTTATGTAAACTTGATGAGATGACAATGTTGTTAAAGCAATTGACCAGGAGAGATCAAGACTGAGTTAAGATGCATCCCCCAAAAGAAAACTTCATGTGCAATCATGTACATTCTCATCTAACATGTGAGATTTCTTTAATTATAATGTATACTGTTTGGAAAAACTGGTGCTCCCACCTTTGTCTTCTCAATATAAATGAACAGGAAGTGCATGTTTTAAAACTAATTAGATGTGTACTGAATAGGCATTTATGTAAACTTAATGAGATGACAATGTTGTTAAAGCAATTGACCAGGAGAGATCAAATCTGAGTTAGATGCATCCCCCAAAAGAAAACTTCATGTACATTCATGAAATAAATATGTTTAAATCAAACAGGGCTGCAGTAGATTCTTGGAGCTCCTAGATTATTGTTATAGCCAGGGGTAGATTCTGGGAGCTCCCAGGTTATACCTCGGGGTGGATTCTGGGAGCTCCCAGATAATACCCCGGGGTAGATTCTGGGAACTCCCAGAGTATACCCCCTGGGGGTAGATTCTGGGAAAGGGGGGTAGATTCTGGAAGGCCCCACAATCTACCCGGGTATACTTTGAAGGGGGGGTATACTTTCAGACTTTACACCGGCAATGTGCTGTATATTTTTTCTTATAATGAAATATCGTATATAGAAATCTCACCTTGTGGTCCTGTGTGTACACTGTCAACGATAATGTTTAAGTGCATAAGGAACTGTTAATCAAGAGCTTAGCTCCTCACGTGTCATAAATCTGCCTGTCAAAACATCCGCGGCCAAGCACGACTATGCAAAGCCGCAATAAACAATTGAAGGCAATGGATTTACTCTTAAGTACTGACACCTTGTCCTCAAATTACACCCTCAGTTAACAATAGTAACACAGTAATTAGGCCCTAGTCTTTGAAGTGGATAC